GAGTAGCATATCCGGGAGTATCAAGGTAGCTGCATGACATCCGCAGTCCTGATCTTCCCTTCTATCTTATTGTTTCATTTTCGCATTTCTCTAGAACGATATGTAGTAGGTTGATACTCATGTATTAGAGGCTCAGACTTGTGACACCGGATTCTTCGGGCTGTGTAGTAGTATTGTTATTTGGGATTCCGCATATTTTACTCTATTTCAGTATTATGACTTAGTGATTTATCTGTGTTAATTAATTTATGAACGGTATGAAAATGGTTAAGGGTATAAAATTGGTCGGGCTTGCCTAGCAGTGTGTTGGGCTCCATCACGATCGGGTTGGGGTCGTGACAAGTTGGTATCAGAGCCTAGGTTACTTGGTCTCACGAGTCATGAGCCGGTTTAGTAGAGTCTTGTGGATCGGTACGGAGACGTCTGTACTTATCCTCGGGAGGTTGCAGAACCCTTAGGAAAACTTCACATTCTTGAAATTCTTGTCGTGCGGCTTTGTTGAACCGAGGACTAAACTTCTATTATTCTATTCTCTCACAGATGGTGAGGACACGAGCTACCGGACGTGGCAGACGACCACCAATACCACCTACTGAGGCCGCAAGAGTCCGTGGATGCGGCCGTGGTCGTGGCAGAGGCAGAGCAGCCGGGGCAGCACCTGCTGATCCACCAGTTGCCCCAGCTCAGGATCAGGCTCCAGCTGTGGACACACCAGCAGCACCTGTTCAGGCACCAGCTGTGTCTATCGTGATTCCGGGTCTTCAGGAGGCCTTGACTCAGATCTTATCAGTTTGCACTGGCCTGGCTCAGGCAGTTTCAGCCACCACAGCAGCAACAGCAGCTACTTCACAGGCTGGGGGAGGTAATCAGACCCCCGCTGCTCGCACACCTGAGCAGGTAGTGCAGGGACTACAGACGCCAGAGGCACCACAGTTGGCCCGTCATGCTATTTGGATGGTTCCGTCAGACCGTGAGAGGATCAGGAGATTTGTGGATGGCCTTAACTATCATCTCCGTATTTTGATGACTAGAGAGAGAGTATTGGGTGCTATGTTTGAGGAGGTGGTGAATATCGCTCGTGAGATCGAGTCAGTTCGCCGTAGAGAGCGAGAGGAGAGGAGGTCAAGAGGCCTCGTGGATCGGGCAGTTACAGTGGTGCTCCTTCGAGGGCCAGTTCCAGCATGGTAGAGGTTGGTTTTTCAGGCCTGCTCAGTCGGCCCGTCCAGAGTATCGGTGGGGATCTTCAGGCCGTGGTCATCAGTCGGGCCCCAGCAAGGTCAGTNTTTTTGAAGAACTTAGGCTTGAATTCGATGAGAAATGACGGTTTTAGTGTTGTTTGAGGTATTTTTATGATTGGAACAAGTTTGAATGATGTTATAGGATGTGTTGGTGCTTTTGGTTGAGGTCCCGGAGGCCTCGGGTGAGTTTCGGGTGGTCAACCGGACCATTTCGTAAGTTAAAAAGCTGCAGATTTCTCATTTCAGGTGTTACAGAGAATTTACTCTTTGCGTTCGCGTAAAGAGTCACGCGTTCGCGAATAAGGAACTGGGAGGCAGGTAATTTGCTCTACGCGTTCGCGTTCGAGGGTCCGCGTTCGCGGAAGGTCGGAGGGTTGTGCTTCGCGTTCGCACCAGCCCAATCGCGTTTGCGTATAAGGAATAGAGGGCCAGTGATGATTGGCCTTTGCGTTCGCATGAATAAGGTCGCGTTCGCGTATGAGGGGAAGGCTGAGCATCGCGTTTGCGGGGTTAGTCTCGCGTTCGCATAGGGCTAATTTGGAAAATTAAATGTTGTGCTTCGCGTTCGCGAGGCAGTATGAACTAAAAACTGGGATTGCTTAGAGGTGAGTTCTATGAACTAAAAACATGATTTAATTGTAGAATCAACCTAGAAATTCATGAAAACTTAGCAAAAAGGGGAAGAACTAGGGCTTGAGTTTTAATATTTCAAATTGGGATTTGAGGGGTCATTTGGACTCTGATTTTGGTGTTCTTTATATGTATAGACTCGTGGCGAGATAAGGAACCCGTTGGTGTAAGAATTTCTAAGTTTCGAGAAGTGGGCCCGGGGCTCGGGTTTTTGCTAATTTCGAGATTTTTGATATTTTTCGATTGTTTTCGATTGGGTATTGTTCCATCGGCATATTGTGACATATTCGTTGTGGTTTTGGTCAGATTCGACGCGCGAGGAGGTCGATTTAAGAGGCAAGGGCATAGCGAGCTAGGATTTTGGCCGGCTTGAGGTGAGTAATAGATGTAAATGATGTCCTGAGGGTTTGAAACCTCGGGTTTACACATCGTAGTGCTATATTAAGGTGACTTGCACGCCGGATAGCGAGCGTGGGGTAGAGCACCGTTGGGGATTGGGACTTGGTTCGTCCCGGTAGATGAATATATTGTGTATTTGACTGAAATTTACTTATTATCATTATAAGTTGAGCTGATTGCTATATTTGGGCTTCGTGCCAACTGATTGAATCCTTCAGGGATTGCTATTACTGGTTTCTTACCAGTTTTACATACTATTGAACTCAGTTCTAGTAATTAATACTATTTTACAAACTGAGCCACCTTTTCTCAAACTTGAAACTTAATTAATATTTTTAATGAAGTTTGGGCTGAATATTTCTATATTACTGTGCCCGAGGGGCTTATGTGATTCTGGACTGAGTATGGGATCGGGCTGCGTGCCGCAGCGGTATTGTATTGAAATTGATATGAGGCCGAGGGCCTAGTTGATGCCACGAGATGGCTTATTATTGTGCTTGGGCCGTAAGGGGCCCCTCCCGGAGTCTGCATACCCCCAGTGAGCGCCGTCGACGATAAATAAATGGAGCAGGCTGCACGCAGCGGGTACTAGAGAGTACCGGACTATGTGTTGCATTTCATATTTGACTGTTATTTACTTACTTATCTGTTGCAGGATTTTCCTTAACTGTTTTCATTGGTTTACGGACTTTATATTACTTGGTATAAATTGCTGCATTTATAGATTGTTTTGTGCCTATTTAGGATTTCTTATTCTCAGCCTTTATTTATGTTTATTACTCACTGAGTCAGAGTACTCACATTACTCCATGCACCTTGCGTGCAGATCCAGGTACATCTGAGGCTGAGTGAGGACTTCTGTGCCGAGTAGCATATCCGGGAGTATCAAGGTAGCTGCATGACTTCCGCAGTCCTGATCTTCCCTTCTATCTTATTGTTTCATTTCCGCATTTCTCTAGAACGATATGTAGTAGGTTGATACTCATGTATTAGAGGCTCAGACTTGTGACACCGGATTCTTCGGGTTGTGTAGTAGTATTGTTATTTGGGATTCTGCATGTTTTACTCTATTTCAGTATTATGACTTAGTGATTTATCTGTGTTAATTAATTTATGAACAGTATGAAAATGGTTAAGGGTATAAAATTGGTCGGGCTTGCCTAGCAGTGTGTTGGGCGCCATCACGGCCAGGTTGGGGTCGTGACACAAAAATATTTGTATTTCCATGTATTTAAGCATACAACTCTATATCAAATTTAGACGTCAGAATAATTTGAAATTGAACCAAATCTACAGTCAACACTTAGTATCACTCTTCATACATATATGTGAATTTTTCATTGCAAGCTCAAGTTTTACATTATAGAACCACATGTACATAATTCATTCCTTGAAAAGCAAGGAAAACAAACTCTAAACAAAAAAGGCCAAATAGAACCAGAGAAAGGTGCCCAAACGGAGAGCAGTATAGCAACCAAAGCAAATACTCTTACTCACAAACTCCAGTACCAACTCGAAACCCAACAGATTTGAAGCAAGAAAACAGAAATTGGATCTTATAAATACTTATGTTCAAAATGAGGTTAAATGAAGTGTTCAAACACAACAGTAAAGCAAACCTCAACATTTAAAAGGAAACATAAACAATCGTAATAAACAACAACTAAACACATGATAGATCACCAAATTAGTAGATGTTTATTCATTAATTCAAACTGAGTAAGTATGGAGTGTAGACATACCTAAATTGTAGAAAATTAGCAAAATAAAACAAATAAAAGTCTGAAGTTAAGTGAAGGCTCAGCAGAAATTCAAAACCACAGCTTCAAGAAATTCCTCTTCTAAACCCAGAAAACAAAACTTGAGAGCTGAGAGAAAAGCTTCAGATTCTAGCCATTTTTGAGTGAACCCTTTTTTTGTGCTATTTTTCTGTTCAGCCGTGTCTGTTCCTTCTGCCTTATCATTTAACCTATAATGTGTATTTATAGCACTCTACTTAGGGCAACAAATCAGAATTTCTAAATTCAAAACTTCCCCTTAAGAAATCTATTTTTGCCCCATTTTTCCCTAAATTTGTACTATTTACTTATTCAATCCCCCACCCTCACCTTCCCAGAACCTTCCTAGATAGTTATGGGAATATTTCCTAGGTCTAAATACCCCAAGTGCCCTTACCAATACCGTTATTTACCAAACCAAACTTAGACCCCCTCTTCTTCGGGCAAACACTAGGCTACAAGGCCCGTTATACCCCTATCAAATTGTTGGGGCCTTTGACCAAGGCCCTTGGTGAAAGAAAACAGAAGAAGAAGAAGCAGAAATAAAGAAACAGAAAAAGAAAATCAAAATTAAAAAAACGACCTAACAATACTGATAATGAAAAAATGAAAACCAATAATCTAAGCTAACAAACACAACGATACTTAAACAAATAAACAAATAAGAAATCTAGTACCAAATTCTCGGCCCTTGCATGGGTGAAATTACCAAACCTCTTTGTTGAAATAAATATCCACCCGAAACTAATTTTGACTAGCCATGGAAATAGTGACGCAAGCATTGGCCGAAAATCCCTAGTGGCTAGTGCTTTGTGTCACCATTTTCATTTCTTGCCAAAAAAAGATGAAGGGGTAATCCTAGATCTAAAAATTAGGGAGCATAGGTGTTTGTTTGGACAAAGCACTGCCGGATTATGGGTGGGGAGGTGTTGGTAATTATAGGGAAGGGATTTGAATGGGGTTGGGGGTATTTGCGGCGGAGCCGCCGGTTTGTGGAGGTGAGGGGTTTGGAGGCGGCTAGGGTTAGAGTCTTAGAGGGAGATGAAGAAGAATGAGGAGGGGTCTCTAGGTTTGGGGTTGTATTAGGACAGCTATAAGGGGGATATGAATTAGTTCCCAGCCGTTGGATCACACAAGATCAACGGCTGAAATTCGACCTAAAGAAACGACGTCGTTTGGTGTTAAAGGGGAGGCTGGACAAGGTAAAAGGGGTTGGGCCGGGGCGGATGACAGGGACTTTGGGCTTAGAAACAATTTTGGCCCAATTTCGGGACCAAATTAAAACTTTTTCCAATTCCCTTTCTTTTTCTCTTTGTTTTCTTTTCTTTCTTTAATTAATTGAAATTCTAAATTAAATTCTAAATTAATCTAATTTATAAAATTAAATTAATTATCTATTTATAATGTTTACAAAAATTAGTTAATGCTAAATTAATGAAGAGAAAATTACTAATCTAAAATTAAACGCTAAAAATGTAAAAATGAGCAAAATTTGTGATTTTTTATTTTAATGAAGCAATTAATTAACTAAATTAATCCTAAAATACGAAAACATAACCTACTATGAAATGCATGGAATTTTGATATTTTTGAGGTATTTTCTATGCTTTAATGCATGCAAAAATACAACTAAAAATGCAAATAATTAAACAAATATCCCTAAAAATTCAGTAAAAGTAAAATAAAAATGCAAAATCTATTTTGTGATTTTGTAGGAGTATTTTAGGTTGGGCAAAAATTACATGCTCACAAGCACTACCCTGTAAGTGGTTCTACAAGGTTAAACTTAAATTTGATGGAAGTGTAGAAAGTCTCAAGGCTCGTTTATTTATTCGAGGAGACACTCAACGAGAATGGATTAATTTTACAGAAACCCTCGAAATGTCATAAGAGAAGAAAAGCAAGTTCAGTAGTACGCCTGGTTCACGAGGTTCTACCACCGCAGGGCCCAATCATAATAAAAAAGAAAGAGTTCTCTCTTTTTTTCTCCCATGCTTTCCGTTGGTCAACAACCAACCAAAGTGCTCTATACTTCTTCACTACTCGTACAGGCTTGACGGAGTTAAGCTGTATTGAGGGAATCGTTTCTCTTCTGTGGTAAAAATGACCATTATTAGGTGTACACTTGCTATTTGCAGTCAAGGAAACTTGGGGTCATTATCAATTGAATGTGAACAACGCTTTTTTACATGGGGATCTACACGAAGAGCTTTATATGAAATTTCCAGCTGACCTAGACCACCCTGCTCCTAATTTGGTTTGTCGCCTGACGAAATCTCTTTATGGGCTTCGTCAAGCTTCTAGGTAATGGTATGCCCGCTTGATTGCTGCCCTTAATTTCAAAAGTTTTACTCACTCCTTAAACGACTACTCTCTCTTCTACGAGAAGAATGGTGATTCTGTCTCTTTGGTGGCTGTTTATGTGGACGATATCTTACTCACAGATAACAACATTCAGGAGCTCAATGATTTAAAACATTTTCTAGATCAGGAGTTTGAGATAAAGGACTTGGGGAACTTATCTTATTTTTTGGGCATGGAAGTACTTCGTGAGCCATCTGGTCTGATTCTCTGTGAACGCAAGTCCACCCTAGAACTCCTTACTGAATTTGATTGTCTTGGTCTATCTCCTGCTTCTTCTCCTTTGGAACCTTCTTCCAAGCTCCATGACGGGGTTGATGCCCCTCTTTCTGACCCTCTGCTCTATCGTCGACTATTGGGGAAACTCAATTTTTTGACCCATACTCATCCTGACATCTCCTTTGTCGTTCAACGTCTTAATCAATTCATATAGGATCCTCGTGAGCCTCATTTTTCTGCTGCCCATCATTGTCTTCGTTACCTTCTTCGTGATCCTGGTTTGGGACTTTTCATGTCCGCTGATCCTTCTCTTGACTTAATCTCTTTTTGCGACTCCAACTCGGGTTCTTGCCCTGATAGTCGTCATTCAGTTAGTGGGGTTTTCATCATTTTGGGAGGTTGTCCTGTCTCTTGGAAATCCAAGAAACAGTCTTCCGTCTCTTTGTCTTCTGCAGAGGCCGAGTACCGGTCGATGAGGCGTGTTGTTATCGAGTTGCCTTGGCTCGTTCGTCTTCTCGATGACCTTTCTATCGTTCCTTCTTTACCGGTACCTCTTCACTCGGACAGTCAGGCTGCTATCCACATCGCTAAAAACCCCGTCTTTCACGAGCGTACCAAACATGTGGAGCTTGACTAACATTTCGTCTGGCAACAGTTCCAAGATGGTCTCATCTCTCTTTCTTTTCTCCCTTCTCACCACCAGCTCGCTGATGTCTTTACCAAGCCCCTTTTTGGATCTCTTCATCGTGTTCTACTAGGAAAGTTGGGTGTTCTTTCCGTCCCCTCCAACTGGGGGGGGGGGGGGGTGTCGGTGATATTTCACCGGACCCAGGTTGAATGAAGAAGGTGAAGAAGTGCTAGGGTTTCTTCCAACTGACTACGATTAAATAAGATAAATGACCACGTTGGGCTATGCGGGTAAAAACAGCTATTGGGGCCTATTGGGCCTTCATCAGACTCCTCTTGTTTCTCACATGGGCTGGTCATAAGCTACAACTGTATCATATAGTTTGAGTAGTCTCTAGAATAGGTTAATTATGTAATTTCCTTTTTCATTACACACGTGGTTAGCTAGTGATACAAGTGAGGCGGTTAGTAGCTAGTGAGATGTATATATATTCCTTTTCTGCTTGTAACAAAGACAGATTCAACCGAATAAAAATTCATTTTGCCTTCTTCAGAATTTCTCTCTCTAAAGTCAACACTTTACACGTTTTGAACTTTTGTGGTAAAGATATGATTTAGGGTGAATTGCGAGAATTATTGAACTAATTAACGAAGGTAATATAATCTAGTATTCTAGATTGATTAAAAGGAAATAAAAAGAATCAAGAGCAGGGAAGTAAACACGTGGTAGTACAGTTCAATGAGGTATTTTGCCATATTTGATTGTATCTTTAAGCATTCACGTCAAACTTGAATAAAGAACAACGTCACACGAATTAGATAAATGTATTTTTTTTCCTAATAAAGTACTATGGATATATTTACAAAATCTATGCAGCACCAGTTGACACAAATTGATATTTTAGTTTATCAAAATAGAAGTTACAATACAAAATCGCACTCACCCTAAAGGGTCTTTATAACAAATCCAAACCTATTGATTGTATTAACTCACCAAACGGAATTACAATAAATATCCGTAGAACAATAGAAAATAATACTAATATTGAATAGAGATGAGATGAGAAAAGAAACTACAACAGCAAGCTAAGAAGAAAGGGGATGAGATACAGATTCAGAAGAGGAGATGAGAAGCACAGACTTGAGCCGAAGCTTAACATAATTCGCATGCCCTGTATTCCCCTGGATCCCAAATATAATGTCCTAGCATTCTATTCGGCTGTTTAGTCATTGGGCCTCTTCTCAATTTAGCTCCAGGCCCAATACTCCCAATTGGATCAACTTTGTTGCACACTTCTGGCCCATAATCCCATACTGAGTCACGCGGGTTCATAACAGTCTTTTGGTTTAAAGACAAGTTATACTGGGATTAGTTATGCTGGAATTAGTTATATTGGAATTAGTTATGTTGAGATTAGTTATTCTGGTATTATTTCTTATTGACTGTTTGATATGTTGTATAAATCCTGAAATTGTCAATTTTACTGTTTTATCCTGGGATAACTTATTCCGGGATTACTATTCCACCTTCTGGCAGATATAAATTATTCTGGTGCTATTTTTAATCCTCAGATAACTTATCCCACAATTAGTAAATAAAGCATACAATTTTTTTATCCCAGAGTTAATTTTGCTTTATCTGTCGTGCCAAATGACCCCTAATAGAACAACTTAAAGGCCTTTTATTTGATTTTGAACAACACTATGTGCAAACAAATAGTAGAAAGTATTCAAGAAAATGTTTTTCGAAAAACTTTGTGTAGAACGCTAAGATATTTATTGAGGAAACATATCGCTTTGAGTGTTATAAAACAATAAAAGTAGAAGAACAATATTGCAGAGAAAAGTAGAGAGAGAGAATTCTTATTGATTTTTGGAGTGAATTACAATGGAATAGAACCCTCTATTTATAGGGAGAGAGTGACTTAGCCACCAAGTAATAAACCCTAGAATCTCTCTAAATATAGACATTCACCATAAATAAAATTCTATTTATAACACTCCCCTTGAATGTCTATTCAACAGATAATATGCCTCATTAAAACCTTAACTAAAATAAAACCCAGTGGGAAAAAAATTCTAGAGAATGAAAAAGAGTACACATATCTAATGATACGCCTTTTGGTTGACTCATTAAAAACCTTGCAAGGAAAACCCAGTGGGACAAAACCTTGTAAGGGAAAAAGAGTACAACGCGTATTAACTCCCCCTGATGAGAGCATCAATTCACATCCTTAAGCATTTGCATTCCAATCTTGTGCACCATCTTCAAAAGATCTTTGGTAGAGATTTGATGAACAAATCAGCCATATTAACTTGAATGAATATATTGCACCTTGAAAATCCTCGCTATCACATTATCATGCTTATAGTTATAGCAAGATACCTTTGTGCACAAATTGCACTTAGGATGTGGTCATTCGTGACCAAACAATTCTCCAAGAATTGCATATGCTATCAGCATTTTAAATCGTTCATGGATTGCCATATAAGTATAGTAAATAAACCATATAGTGGACTTTAGATGCATATCAAGTTTTCATGTCATGCTAGACATATAAGATATCGAAAATTGATTGCACATACCATTGACTTTATACTTTCAAGTAGGGGTGTTCGTCGGTCGGTACGATACGGTATTTAGACATTTCGGTTCGGTATTTTCGGTATTCGGTTTCTTAAAATCCTATACCAATACCGTACCAAATTAAATTCGGTATGGTTCGATTTTTCTCCTTTCGGTTTCGGTATATTCGGTTCGGTAACTTCGGTTTATTCGGTTTGAATACTAACTAGTGCATAGAGCCATAGACTCTAATATTCTTAATTAAAGTACTCAAAAATACAAAACTATTAATGTTTGTTGACAAAAGTTTTGTCCAAAACTAGCAAATATCGACCCAAATAGAGAAAATTATACATAAAAGAATATTTGATCATTAGAAATATCTTGTTATGTTTATAGTTAATTGATGAACTTAGAGAATAAAAGAAAGTAAAATTTTAGATTTTTTATATTTTTGTTATAATTGATAATATATGTTTTGTGTAATATAATATATATTTCGGTACGGTATCGGTATTTCGGTATTTTATTTTAAAATACCAAATACCATACCTAATACCATTTTTTTTAAAAACTTAAACCAAATACCATACCAAATACCAAAATACCGTATACCAAATACCAAAATTTTCGGTTTCGGTACGGTAATTCGGTATTTACCAAATTATGCACAGCCCTACTTTCAAGTGTTTGAACTGAAGGTCCAAAACTATATGTCTTTCGTATGAAACAAATTCTATTCGAATTGTGTCTCTTTCATTTGGTCAGTATTTTTGTGTCTATATTCGACATACTTAAGATCCTCATCTATACTTAGCGCTAACATAGATGTCGTCGACGAACATTTTATATCGGTTCCAGCTTTATTTTCATAAAGACATGACATAGAGATCTCTTCATTCATATTTTCAGGTACCTGAATCTCTCCTGAGATTTTATGAAGTGTTATGTCATGTGATCTTCTAGATCACTTGCCTCCTTATTATGATCATTTTGATCATTTGCTCATCTTCTATATTAAGAAGTTTATTTGAAACCAATTTGTCTATATGCTTTAAGCTTACCATAGACTTTGTCCTTCTAGGACTTATTCCGATAGGAGCATTTGCAGTGAGATATAGTTACTTTCTTTGGGTCAGCAAATGCATCTGGCATGCTTTGCAATAAATTGCACATGAATTATCCTTTTATGAACTTCAAGTTCATATTATTTTATTCGAGGATCGAGATGTATAAATAATAATTCATTCCATGTAACTTTTTTTCAACTGTTTATCATGTCTCCCCCTCATGTTAGAAAAACTAACTTGGTACCTCAACTTTGAGAATCCACCTTTGTGCGTTATGGTGTTAATCAAAATATACATCGCACATCAATAATAATAAGATGGAATTATTTGGTTCCTGACCATGAACCAATTGTGAGGGGAGAAAATAATATACTTTCGTATATAACGTATATCAAACTGATATATATAACTTTGTTCTCATAAGCAATAGTTTAGCTATTAAGTGGAGGCACTTAATAAATCATTTTGCTAAACCAACTGTGATGTAAACCAACTTATCAAGATGAACTTCTTGAATAGAAAATCTGGAAATTATGCTCGAAATTAAATTATTGAGCAAGTTACCTCGCAAAACACCATGTTGCGGGTTATTAATAATCGCACATGTAATCATATCATAGATGCATCTTATGTGGTATACATGGCAGGTGAATGGGCCCATATTCACCTTTGAAATTTTCAGCATTCATGGGATTCAATCCCAATTTTAGTTGGTCTATTAATGAGAACAAACAACATAAGAGAGTTCGTAAAGAACTTTCTAGTTCTTTAATATTTACCCATGTGAATTCTCTTTTATTTTTTGCACATCATACTTAAATTGATATGGCTAAACCAATTATGCCAACTGAATAAATTATCAATATTGATAAACTTCAGGTTTACACCATGATGTGTGCAATTATGAATAAACTTCAAGTTTATTATGATATGAGTTTTTATATCAATAAATATCCACTTCATTGTGGTATTCTTTTATTTATGTAGTACAAATTGGAGAATAAAGCGGGTAGCTTTTCACATACATATTACCCCGCTACAAGTTGTACTAATAGAAGATATTAAATCTTTCCTTTATTTATAGTCGCAATATAATCAACCGCTTTCGCGTATACTTTGGAAACTGAATAAGTTTCTTTGAGACTTACTACAACACAATACCTTATTGGTAATTAATTGTGTTTCTCCAAATGAGTTCTCAATTAATTTTGTACTATCACAAATTCATCAACATCCATATAGTCATATATCTCTTTCAAGGAGAAAGTTATACCATTATCGTCATGGTCAAAATTATATGCAAGATCTGTTTCTTGCATTACCGTTGTCTTTTAACAATCACAATGCCAAAATATTTTGGCGTACAATAGGTAC